GATGCATGCAACAACGTCGATGACGTGTGTGTGTGTGCGCGTTTGAAGGGAAAGGTTTAGCAGCTAGGGGAAATAAAGCTTGTAGACCTGACGTGTGGGTCGCTGCGGGTCGCCTGCTGTTGCAAGGTCACCAAGGCCGCCGCCGTCGCCGCCGCGGGTCGGACGGACGGGTCGGATTAGGGTCGCGGTCCTGGGTGTCAGAGTGTGTTGTTGTCCGAGTGACAGCAGCCCCCCCGTGGGAGACCGACCCGAACCGACCGGGCGTATCAACTGATAGCCATCGATCTAACCGGCGGCGGCCGTCGGCGACGGAGAGGTGCGGAGGTCGGGCCTAACAAGAGAGGGGCGCAGAGGGGGGGCGTGTATCTACACGTATCTGCCTGCGAAATAAAACTCTGTCTGTGCATTGTACTGGCCCGCCGTCGTACCCCGCGCCTGCCGTGCATCCGAGGAGCCCCTCGCCGCCTATATTCCAGCTCAGAGGAGTACAGGAGAGGGGAAAGGGGAGGAGGGGCAAGAAGGCAATCACCTAAACCGGTATCGTCCGAGGTGGCCGCGGGGGGAGGGGACGGGGGGAAAGTGCTAAAGGTAAGGCACCGCCTGGTGCCCAATAGTCATATCGGACAAGGCCACGGAGAGGAGGGGAAAGGGGGGAGGGGGAGAGATTCATTGACCTATGGGCCGCAACATGTTACGATGCCGCTGGGGGGCCCCCATGCACCGAGTGGGGACGTGGACATCGTCGCTAGTTGGAATTAAAACTGAAATTAAACGTGAAATATGTGACGGATGTCCTCTCCCGTGTGTGCTGTGCTCTGGCCTGCTGACCCGAAGAGGTTGATGAATGCCCAGCAATACTTTGTTGGTGATCTGCGCTGCGACCATGTACTACATCTGTAGCACTGCTCGCGCACTGCGTGAATCATGCAGTGTGGACGAAATGAGAGGCGTACAACTGGTACAACCGAGGTGCCGTGTGCACCAGGTTGATGATTAACCCCGCGCACTTTTGTTTTTATGCTGTGCCGCTCTCAGTGGTGCGGGCGAGCTTGCCTACACTAGCCCCTGTCCACGCGTGAACGCCGCGGCGCATCAGGGATCGTCCGGAAAGTACGTCCGTTTTTTTTTTCAGATTCATTCGGAAAATTACGGGAGCTGAGCGCCTGCGAGACTCGGAATAGGCCACCCCGCAGTACACGCACGCACGGCAGACAAGATGTTGCCTACCTGTCAGGCGCTCTGAGAGCTTGGCAGAGGCTGAACTTCGCAAGTTCGCAACGGGGAATGATGGACGTACCTTCTGCATGATCCCTTACGGTCTAAGCAAGTAGAGGGAACCCGCCCTTCTTTATCTTAGTTACATGTCGACAGCCGATATCGCGGGTCGCGGGCAAATCGAACCCTCGATACTGCGGGAGATGGTGTCTGTTAGTTTTCGAGATATCGCACAGCTCTGTCTGAAAGAACGGTCCGAGCGGCGCGTCTCGTGGGATCCCCGCCGAAGCGCCGTTGCGGGACGCGGCGGGGGGAGGCGGGGCTGGCGGGGCTGGCGGGGCGCGGTACCACGCCTGTTACCTCACGGCGCGGCGGCGGCGGCGGCGCCCATGCGCTCCGCGTGGGGAGAGGGAGAGGGGGGCGCCGCGGGGGCGTGCTCCTGGCCGTGACATTGGGAGGCTGCTAGAGGCGCGGCCGGCTTGCGGGGTGGGGCGGGGCGGGGGCGCGATGGGTATCGACCGGGCGGCCGATGGCAGGAAGCGTTACGGCATCGGCAGATGCACCGCCGCCCCCGCAGCGTCTGAAGGGCGCGGCGGGCGGGACACTCGCGGGAGAAACGCCGTCCTCCCGTAGCATCTGTCTTGGAGAGAGGTTGTGCTGCAGATCTTTGGCCGTGCCATCCTGCTTTTGCCATCCTCACATGTAGTAAACCGTCAAACATTGACCGCTTTCTTCATCATAGAGACCGTTTGCGATGACAAGCTGCCCTCGCCGGCCCGCGGCCGGTGCAGCGTCCGAATGAAAGGCGGATCAGTGCGTTCCGCAGAAGTCCAGCAATTACAAGGAAAAGTCCACCACCGCCGCTCTCACTCCGTGCTGCAGCAGAGCAACTTTGCGCGGCGATCCGCAGTATAAGCATTTTGCCATACTTTATTTTTTTCGCTTGTGTTTCAAGCTTAAAGCTCTTGACATAAAACAAAATGATGATGTCATAGAAACCAGCTTCTCCAAGTAAATGGAGTCTCTTTTTGGGGGGAGAGAGGGGCTGAGGGAGGGCATCTTTTTTAGAAAAGGAAGACCGTAAAATTGGCATCATAAAACAAAAAAGTTAAGACAAAAATAAACACGCGCGCGTGGTTGTTGGGTCGGGTCGGCCTCTTGCCTCGCAAACATATCCGAGTCGATGTCCTGTCGGGCAGGTGCACCACGGGGTGTGTCGGGGCGTGTCGGGGCGTGGCGGGGCGTGGCGGGGCGAGCGGCCAGGCCCGCCGCAAGCTTTGCTCTGCTCTGATGAAAGGGTCTGGCTTGGCCCCCGGCTCCTTGTCACGTCTAGCGAATGCACTCGACGCCACCAGACTCGCCACTTCTTGACCGCTGGCCCCGTTTGGCAAGTCGCACAGCTCATAGAGTAAGTACCCAGTCCCGGCCGGGGGGGCCCCGCCACGCCCAGTCGCGGTACTTTTGCGAAATATTCATACATACATCATCTCTCACCAGAAAAGTGAAAAATTGTTTTTTTCTTCATAATTTGCCCCGTTTTTCTAGCAATTCCCTCGTACTTTCCATTCAATAATGCTCTATTTTCCCCCCACATTTTTCTCTAGATCTCCTAACCACTTACAACTGTCAATCGCGTAAGGTCACGAGTGTAACATTGCGTTTGACGATTCGCATTCCATTGAAGACATTCTCCCTCCCTGCTTCGGTCTTTGCCTACGGGCCGCACGCCAAACCGAAACCTTTTGCGTGGATGGCGTCTGGATTCCCCGGCGTTTTGCTGCTTTCGTCATAATGCACGTCGCTCGAGCGGGGAAGGTCAACAGGCTGACAGCAAACTGACGTATCGATCCATACGGACGGGCCGCCCGGCCCCGGAGCCGCACGAGCCTGGAATCCAAAACCTGGAAGGCAAGGGAAGGAAAAAGCGCCCTCTCCCCCCACCTCAACCCAACCCCACTATTAAAAAAAAAAGAAAAAATACTTTATGAAGAACCTAGGAAACTTTGCTGACCATGCCAGAGGCGCACACATGTTATTGCGCCCGGTACGTGTTTCCTATAATTGAATTGAACATTGACAACACTCAATTTTGTGTGCAATCTTAACGTAACTTCTCCCTGCCTCATTGTTAAAAATTCGGTACACAGAAACAGAATTCAGTTAGATCGTCCTGTACTTCCATACTACGGTCAAAATATGTTCGACTGGTATTTGAGGGATATACTCGACATTGCTTGAAAAGAACTTTCCTCGAGAATGAAGAAAAGTGCAGCCTACAGGATTACTGTTTTCAAAATTACCAGTCCATTCTGTAGTTATCATACGTCGATGGAGAGTCACCGAACGGTCGCATAATCCGCTCGAAGGCCGAGCTGCCCCAAAAATGTAGCGAGCAGGGCAATTCGCATAAACTATGGTCCCCGTGGCACACTTGGCGTACATGGGCTGGGCCGGGGTACGGCACTGCTGCTGAGAAAAGGTGCAAACCAGTGCACCAGTCACGGACGCTGCTGTCGACAATTCCTTTCCTAGGCCATGATTTATTTTTTTATCTTCTATTTTTGCGATCGGGTGTGAACGAACACGGGTGAATTTTTCAAGCAACCGGCCATAGCGGCAGCTGTAAAGGCTGGGCTGTGTGGCCGTTACCTCTCACGCCAACAGGTATATACCGCTCGTTAAAGCTGGCTGATACACCCGCACGGGACACACCTAGTAGTGATGGCGGAAAAATAATGTAGTAAAATGGCGATATCCTTCTCAATTCGTCATTTCGACTTTGTTTTCGACCGGTGGCCGCGACGACGACGACGCTGCTCCCTCAGGGACGCGCTCGCGAAGGTGACGCCACAACCCGATCCGCCGTGTCGGGTGATGTCATTCTCCGAAAAGAGGAAATATCAAAAGGCTCGAAACGGGAAGAAGTCGTCCGCGCGGCCCCCGCACCCCCGCGCCCTGCAAAGCCCCGGTGTGGTGCAAAACGCGCGAACGAGGATGTGCTCTGGAACCGTCCGGGATGCGGCGACGACGAAGAGTCCAGAGCAGAGCGGCTGTCGCAAGCGGCCGGCAGGCGGCGACGGTAGCCGAGCCAACGGGGAAGAGAATTATAGCGTTAAGGCGCGCGTCCCCCCGGCGGGGCCCCGGCGGGCACAACTCATATGCAAATGTGTTGAAACGTAGATATAGCGGAGGCGCAACTCCCGCGCGACATAACCGCCAGGTTACGCCCGCCCAGCTCGCTCTGCAAGTGTCGCGCCCCGCCCTAGTGTGTGTGACAGAGAGAGAGAGGATGTGAGGCATTCTCTATGGAAGACGTCACCAAAGGCGGAAAGAGCGAGAAATAGTTTTAGAGACAAGTACAAGTTGGACTACGAATAACCCAGCAGAAAAATGGGAATGCGTCGACGTTACATAGCGTCACAATAATTGCTCTCATTATTATTTTATCATCGTAAAGCTCGAAGAACACATAGATCATTGAGGAAGGTCAACTTATGTCCTTCCGTTTCATAGCTTCGTCAGTTAAGTCGTCTCTATTTTGCTATTTTTCTATTCTACGGTTGAGGCATATTACCAACGATGCTAAAAGGATACTTGCATTAAGTGGTTTTACCATAAACAAAAGTCGTTTCCAAACGCATTCCGTACTCAAATACAGCGTGCTCATACTTTACAATGAAAACTCTTGAATGATTGTCTCACAGTTTTATCCATTTATTTTCCAAAGAATCAATCAATAAGCGGAAACAACAATGGGTTGCGAATTGGGCTGGTCATTGACTCACTTGTAGTTTGTTGGTCCGGCGGTGCACTTAGTCCAAGGGGTGGGCGGCGCGTCGCACTCACTAGATCACTACCACTCACTGACACATGGCACGCGGGGTCCTGGTGCCACAAAGTGCTGCGCGGCGGACGGTCCTGTCGGGACGAGAGCGGGGCGAACGTGTGAGGACCCGCGGGTCCCGGCGGCGGCGGGAGCCCCAAGGATCACCCCACCACCACCACCCCACCACCACGGGGTCCTGGACCGCCACGCCCC